TACAGGTTTGGGAAAATTTTAGGCTCGGGAAAGTAAAGGCTTAAGCCATGGCTGACCTTAGCTTGCACTTGTTAATCCTTGTTAGGCTCGGGAAAGTAGCGGCAAAATTTAGGCTCGGTAAAGTAGCGGCAAAATTTTAGGATCGGGAAAGTGGCGGCAAACTTTTAGGCTCGGGAAAGTGGCGACAAAAGTTTAGGCTGGGGAAAGTAGCGGCAAAAGTTTAGGCTGGGAAAAGTAGCGGCAAAATTTTAGGCTCAGGAAAGGGGTGGCAGAATTTTAGGCCGGGGAAAGTAGCGGCAAAATTTTAGGCTCGGGAAAGGAGCGGCAGAATTTTAGGCTCGGTAAAGTAGCTGCAAAATTTTAGGCTTGGGAAAGTAGCGGCAAAATTTTAGGCTCGGGATAGTGGTGGCAAAATTTTAGGCTCAGGAAAATAGCGGAAAAATTTTAGGCTCGTGAAATTAGTGACAAAATTTTAGGCTCAGGAAAGTAGCGGCAGGAAAGTAGTGGCAAGATTTTAGGCTCGGGAAAGGGGTGGTGGAATTTTAGGCTCAGGAAAGGGGCGGTAAAATTTTAGGCTCGGGAAAGTAGCGGCAAAATTGTTGGCGTGGCATACTCTACTGTTATCAATCAGTGTTGTTGACTCCATAGCTGCTGACACCCACTTGAGCCGACTGGAAAGCTGACTATTTGTCTTTTTCGTATTGTCGAGGAGGGTGCACCTGTTGTGCCAAACTTATTTGCGAGTTTGTCCAGAAATGATGCCTCGTTAACCCGTCTGCCCAGTCACTGTGGTTGGTACCGCATCAGTGATCTGTGGATCCACTCCGCACTTTCACCCACTTCACAATGCCTGGTACTTTTTTCGGACCTTGATGATTTAGCCAGCTCTGGGCGTCTAGTAACTTACGGAGCATTTCTTGACTACCCAAATGACTAACTGCTAGACTACAGAAGTCAGAGATAGGTTATCTCTGTCCTTGGGGACATCTGTTAGAATTGGAACGATACAGAGAAGATTAATTAGCATGGCTCCTGCGCGTATAAGGACAACACACACAGATGGAGAATTGCAAAACGGGAAAAGAAAACAAAACAAAGGAAAGGACTATACTGGAAGGCGGCACAAATTTTGGATTCAAAGGGATCTAGAGCATATTTAGCAGTATTAATACGGAAGTGTTTCGAGCGTCCATGCACTGGTTCAGTCTCCTAAAAGTTTGGGTGACAAAAAAGCAGGACCTGTGTGGCGTTTTTAGGCTCGTCTCTGTGTCTGTACGTGTGTGTGTGTGGGGAGAGAGAGAGAGAGAGAGAGAGAGAGAGAGAGAGAGAGAGAGAGAGAGAGAGAGAGAGAGAGAGAGAGAGAGAGAGANGAGAGAGAGAGAGAGAGAGAGAGAGAGAGAGAGAGAGAGAGAGAGAGAGAGAGGTTGATCAATGATTTGAAGAGGATCACGTGAAGCATTCCTCTGTAGTTGACCATCGGGACTACTTGCTTCTGCCATGCGGCAGCGGATTGCTTCAAGGAAACGTGGGCTTCTGGTCTTCTCTTTACTCTTCTTTCATATCTCAGGGCATACTCACACGGGGACCTATAATCCCAAAATCCCCCAAAAAAGGGTAAAAGGCCGGTCACACGGATCTACCAAATTCGCAAATGTACTATTCCAGTGCCCATTTGTAAGCGGCCTGGGAAGCCGCGGCCGCGGGGCAAGGGATTTTGCAGTCACCTCAGGAGGTGACCGCAAATGCCCTTTTTCATTTGTTGCATTTTTCTTCGAAAAAAATTGGCAAAAATTCGTTCACAAAAGTTCTTGCACAATTAGTGTATGCCGCCGTGTGACCAGCCAAGTACCAAATCCCCATTTCTCCAGACGGCCACGCCCTTGTCCCATCTGAAAAGGCACAGCAGTGTGACGTGAACCATGCCCAAAACCTCAAATCGGCCCTTCCCAAATTGCGGATTTGGGGTAGCCGTGTGAGTATGCCCTCAGTTGGTTCCATTGTTCTTTGGAGGTGAAAGCCGCTACTAATGCTTGACATCTCGAGCTTAGAGGGAGGGTCAGAGAAAAAAGAGGTAGTGTCAGAGGCCCGCGTTTGTTGTCCTCTTCTCCCTCTCTGCCTACCGTTCATCGCGCAGTTCTCTATGACGATATATATCTATATATAATTCATGGTTGGCTTGGACACGGACATCCGGACAACCGGACACAGTCACCGGACCCGTGTCTGGATTAAACCAGACGTCCGGTTAACTGGACATCTAACCGGACAGTCCGGTTGGGTGTATCACCGTCCGGTCGTCCGGTTAAAAAAGAAAAAAAAAAAAGAAAATGGGACACGTGACACAAGTACATACACACACAGGTTTTTGGGACTGGTCCAACATGCTAATAAAATTGGAAATATTAACATACAAACTTCCCGGCACACATGACACAAACACACACACACACAGCAAAGCTCGAGCTGGCGATGGTGTGGCTGCAGCGGGCGGGAACTTCGAGGAGAACACTTCTACACCAGAGGGAGCGCTGCTGCACGAGGCGCTTCGTTCGAAAATGAGATACTCCCGCTGGCTTTGGACCAACACCTGGATACTGTGGCTGCTACTGCCCTCCAAAGTTCTCCAACAGCGGGCCTGATGGTCGACAAAAAACTACAGCAACAATTTTCTGGGGTACCCCAGGCCCAGGAAAATGGCGTGTGGACCCCAATATTTTTTTTTCGAATTTCTTGAAATTAGGGTCCAACCGGACCCTCCAAACTGGACACCGGACACCGGACTGTCTGGATAGGGATCCGGAAGTCCGGTTGCAACCATGATATAATTAATAATTATGGATTAAAAGAAAAAATATTGCTTTTTCGAAGTTTGGCAGCAAAAATGTAGGCCGTTCCAAGTTTCCTTTGCAAAAATAGAGGTTTCGTTGCAGCTTTTTCGGGTTCCCATAGTTTGCCAGCAAAAATACCGCGTTTTGCCCAGTTTCACAGCAAAGGACCCCTAGGCCTCTGACCTCAGGGACTCAGGGACTCAGCATTCTGGCCTCAGGCACTCAGCGTTGTTGTTGTTTTTTCGGGCATGGCCGACACATCTGGGCGTGCCCACGGCCGAGGTGCCTCGGCCACGGCCGCGAAAAAAAGAAAAAAGACACGTGGCCGAGGCATCTCGGGCGTGGCCACGGCCGAGATGCCTCGGCCACGCCCGCGGGAAAAAAAAAGAAGAAAAAAAAAGAAAAAAAAAAGAGAAAAGCTGAGTGCCTGAGGCCGGAACGCTGAGTCCCTGAGTCCCTGAGGCTAGGGGCCTAGGGGTCCTTTGCTGTGAAACTTGGCAAAACGTGGTATTTTTGCTGGCAAACTACGGGAACCTGATAAAGCTGCAACGAAGCCTCTATTTTTGCAAGGAAAACTTCGAACGGATGACATTTTTGCTGCCAAACTTCGAAAAAGCAATATTTTTGAAATTAACCCTATAATTATTATATACATTTTTTTTTTGACGATATAGAGTTTTCAATCTGGTGTGGGTGAGTGATAGTCTGCTTTGATTTTCGTCACAGGTACCTTGAGGGCAGTGGTTGGTGCCCACCTCAGGGTATAAGTTGTCGGGCAGTCGTTGATGCTTAACCACAACAGGGGTTAAGGTGGATTATCACTTGCAGTGTAATCAGTTAGGGGATTCTTAAAGATAGGGAATGTCCCTCCTGTTTCAAAATGACATAATGGTATGATTCTGTGCTTGATTCTCAAGATTTTTATGGCGCCCTGGTTGGGTGAAGAGGCACATAGTTTCTATTCTCAATTCCTAAGGGACGCTGGGCCCGGTTCCCAGCATGTTTTCTCTGGTTACTCCGGGTAGACTGTGAGGACCCCGGCCTCAATTTTCTCAAATATTACAAAGCTTTGTCAAAAAAAAAAAAAAAAAAGGGGATTCTGCAGACTGTTGAGTGTTCAGCCTCCTGATGAGTCGGTGAAACTCCGACGAAACAGTTTGTCACAGGCCCTTGTTTGTTGTCCTCTTCTGCCTCTCTGCCTAAGTATGTTTTTTTTCCCTAATGTAGTAATGTATCTTTTGTTTTATTTTCCTTTTTCCTTTTTTCTTGTGCGTACTTTTTCCCATCCTTGCAGAGGGGACGCCATTCTTCAGTCTTTGTGTTCTTCCAATTTCGATGGATGCTCCGAAGGACATACGGATGTCCCAAAGAAGGACATCCGCAGCCTGATTATGATTTGATGAAATGGAGGAAACCCCCAATGCGTTGACCAGGCGACACATGCGTTGAGGGTTGGTGGTCAGATGGTGCCTGCAGAGAGGCTGAGACAAACAGGACAGCAAGCAGATTTGGCCCTACTAGTGGGGATCCGCACGGGAAGGCACATCTGTGTGGCACTGCAGTATTCTTCCTTCTCTCTCTCTCTCTCTCWCACACACACACACACACACACACACACACACACACACACACACACACACACACACACACACACACACTCACTCACACACACAGAAGTCCGAGTGCTCTCTTCGCCTCTGCATCTCTCTTCCTTTTCTCTTGTTGGAGTCATTCAGTGCTGAAGGCTTGCTTATCTCCCTCTGGGATCATTTTGTCCTTCTCTCTCTCTCTCTCTCTCTCTCTCTCTCTCTCTCTCTCTCTCTCTCTCTCTCTCTCTCTCTCTCTCTCTCTCTCTCTCTCGTTCTTTCGAGCTGAGTTTGACTGCATGCATGATCGTGTCATGGCACGTCGACAGCCTCCTGGTCCAGTGTCCAATGGAGGTGATGGGAGATCCCGACTTAATAGTCTCAGAAGTCGAGTTGAGTCGCTGGGGTACGAATGGTTCCCGCTCCCAGCTGCGAATGGCAGGCTTGCCGGAATGGTGGAGAGGCTTGTGGGAGACCTTGCGAACGCATTGGAGGAGAAAAGAGAGTCAAAAAGGGAGGCAGAGGTGGCGAGAAGACAGTCCCAGGCTGAGGCTCACAAGGTGGAGGTGCTGCTCAAGGAAAATGGTCGTCTGGTTAGAGAAAACAACCAGCTGCACATGCAGATCATACAAGAGGCGGAGGTGGGATCCACGTCCCAGAGAGAGAGCTCTCTGCACATGCGGAGGTTAGAAGGGGAGATTGAATCGCTAAGGTACTGGAAGACCCAAAGCATGGACCGCATGAGAGTTCTCGAGAGTGATAATGAGGCACTACGCAACCGCCTTCAGCAGTTGTTGAATCCCCCATGTAAGATGACTGTCACTTTCCATCAGAGTTTTTTCAACTTTTTTGCAAAAAAAAAAAAGGCAAAAAAAAAGCGTTAAAGACTCCTCATTCCCCCCCTGATCACGTCCGGGTTCTTTCGATCTTTTGTAATACTCTTTTTCTTCTCGTTTTCTTTCTTTCCTTTTTTAATGTTAATCTTCTCTTCTCTGTATTATTCCAATTTTAACGGATGTCACAAAGGACTTTGTATATTTAAGTTTGTAATAAAATACTAATAATTGTCTATGATGTGGTGTTCACTAGTCTTCTGTGTTGGGTTCGCTTTATCTTCTCCTTGTCTTTCTTTCACTCTTCCCTCTCCTCCTGGCCATAAGTGTTTGCACTTGGCTTGCGTGTTGCTGGGAGAACTATTCTCTACTGCGTTCATACGTGCTTGCTTTCATACGAAAGTGCTTTGTCGTGACATCCGTTAAAATTTGATGGACACCGTTTTTTTTGATCACATCACCAAGTCAGAAAAAAAACTTGCATAAAATAACTCAGCCGTGTTTCCGCCCATTACGGCGGAAGAACCTTTGGACCTTTCACCTTTGCGAAAAGAATTGAAGAAAGCACCTTTGGTGGACCTTCTTTACAGTTCTTTGCCCTTCCTTCAGTTTTTGTTTTGTCACTTTTGTGTAATAACCATTTGGACCCCCTTCCCGCAAATTAGACAAAAGACCCTTCAGTTTTTGTGTTTTGTTTCAAGAACTGTGACAGCAGAGCGAGTTATGCCAGTCCACGAGAACAAGTGTGGTGTCTTTGCAAATAAAAAAAACTTAAAACACTTCATCATTTTGTTCTTTTCTTTTTTCTTGTAAGAAAACATCACACACACGGTCGTCACTCTCGTTCCCATTTTTTTTAATCTTTTCTTTTCAAAATTTTCAACTTTTTTAAAGTTTTTTTTGGTAAGAAAACATGACACATACGGACGTCACTCTCCTTCCCATTTTTTTAATCTTTTCGTTTCAACTTTTTCAACTTTTTCGAACTTTTTCTAACAACTTTTTCAACTTTTTCAACTTTGTCAACTTTTTCAAACTTTTTCTAGCAACTTTTCAAAAATTTTCAACTTTTTGCCAGTTTTTGTATTAAATTATTACCTTACGGTTATGACTCCTTCCTCACCCTGGGGAGTATCCGTTCGGTTCCATTTTCATTGTCAACACTGGCCAAGTCAGGAAACTTCCATAAAAAATAACTCACGCTTACGCACCTGTCTTACTCCCCTTTATGGCGGTGTGATCAGCATGTCATTAGAAAACAATTTTGTCTGCTTCCAAGCATCTTATCAGATTTTTTTTTTTCTCAAATAAGATGCTATGTCTGGATCATTCTGGATGTCTCCTAATTTTCCTTGCATTTCCCTCCATCTTGCTGTCGACTCTGCTTATGCCAACTCCATTCACATTATGGGCCTCTCGCACCACTGTCGAAACAAAGAGTACGAGTGCTCATCTTCCACAAAAAAAAGGGCAAGATGCATAGGTACTATGAATAGTAACGGATGCATCTTGCCACTCTCTGCGGGAACATGCACTTGTGCTTTTTTAGTTTGGACAGTGGTGTGGCAAGGCCCTAAGTCATGCCTGTCTCAGGCAAGCTTGTCATGCTGTTGACAGCCGGAAAGTATATGCTGTTCCGCATGTCCCCGAAGGTCTGACGAATGTTAAGACCTAAAAGAGTATTCAAAATAGAATGGTCCATACATTCGAAGGAAGAGACTTAGAGCATACACGCACGTGGGCTTTCCTGGACTTACCTGACCTTCATTAGAACAGAACAAAACGGTCTAGTGAAAATGGTAGTGCACGTAGATGCTACATCTTCCAGCGAGCCCTTGAGCGAAAGGCAGAAAGAATCAAGGACTGCGGCAGTGTGTGGTTAGGGCACCGGTTGTCAATGCACATTGCGGTATGAGGTTGCAGGTTAAAAATTCCGCACCTCTGCGCAGGGACACCGGCGGGCGTTTACATAACGCAGGGTCGCTTGCATCCCCCCTTAGGCTGACGCAGGTAAGCTATTACAGACACTGCCTGCGCACCACCCAAGGGATTGTCCATGGTGTTGTATGTTGGGTCTAGACTATGATTGGTTTGCTTGCCGTTCTTGGTCCATTATTGTTCTGATATTTGTGCAGTTGTTTCCCTGTCTCGTACAGCGCATCAACCAGACTAGTTGTCACTGTAGCTCCGTAGGTTTGAGCTGAGGATTGTATGGAAGAGGTTGACGGTTCAAAATTGGATCCCGTTGAACTGAGCAATATACAGAGTGCTGTTGTCTATCCTCCTTGTCCATGGTCACGGATATCTTGGTCTAACGGAACAGGCTCCTGCTATTCGCCCTGGGTGGAGTTGTGGCTGGCATCGCAGTTGCCTTAGTACGGGCTTGTTGGGTTGCTGGAACAGGCTCCAGGTACTACCGTCTTCACCCGAAAATAACCCCCGGGCGTTGTATACGAGTATAACGCCCACCAGGCGTTATATCCGTTTATAACGCCCGGGCGTTATATTCAGTAAATTGGTGGCAACTTCGGTGGGGCCCCAAAATTCCGAAAAAAAAAAATAATTTCAAAAAATTCCGTAAAAAAAATATGTCCTCCGCCAACTTTTCGCTGAGGGTCACCTTCAGAATTCCTTATAAACTCGGAAATAAAAAAACAAAATAAAACATCAAACCGAAATATACCCGTTGGAAGTCAAACTCCCTTTCAATCCCCTTTAAAACCCATGTATACCCCCCTCCCCACCCTTTAAAAGTTAAAACCCATGTATTCTACCTCTACACGGCACTCTGCACATGGATTATTCAAATATAACGCCCGGACGTTCTATTCGAATATAACGCCCGGACGTTATATTCGAATATAACGTGCGGGCGTTATAATCGAAGTGGCCTTCTATTTGAAACAAAGTCAGTAAAAACAAAATCTGATGTTTTTAGGGTAAGTTGAATATAACGCCCCCATGTATTCTACCTCGACATGGCACTCTGCACATGGAGCATTCAAATATAACGCCCGGACGTTCTATTCGAATATAAGGCCCTGGCGTTATATTCAAAGGGGCCTTCGATTTGAAAAAAAGTGAGTAAAAACGAAAATCTGATGCTTTTAGGGTAAGTTGAATATAACGCCCGGGCATTATTTTCGGGTGAAGACGGTACTTCTGGATTCAGTTGAGGCTGGCATAGCAGTTACCTGAGTACGGACTTGTCGGGGTACTGGAACGGGCTTTAGGTGCTGGATTTGGGGGGTCCAGTGGTGGTTGATATAGCAGTTACCTTAGGACAGACTTGTCGGGGTATCGGAACAGGTACTGGTCCAGGGGGCTCCAGTGGTGCGGTTGGCATAGCAGTTACCTTAGTACAGACTTATCGAGGTACCGGAACGGGCTCCAGATACTGGTCCAGGATCCAAAGTAGTGTGGTTGGCGTAGCTGTCACCTTAGTACTGGCTAAGATTCTACAAGGGAATGGAGGGTCTTCAGATCCCTGTCTCATACTACAACTTGCCTAGTAACTAGGCTATCACTTGGGACATCAACTCACCTATCAACTATGACATCAACTTACCTATCAACTAGGGGTATTGATCCCCCTATCGGCTAGGCTATCAATTAGGCTATCTACAAGGCTATCAGGTGGGCTATCAACTACGATCTTATGTCTACTGTGCTAGATGGGAGTCGCTGTGCACGCTCATGAGGACCTGTAGTAGCATGTTCATACCTAGATCCCGAAGTCCCCGTGCAATCGGGCTTGCACGTCGTCTGCTGCAACCGGGGCTGAGCAGGGGTAGGGGTCTCTGCTTAGCCCGGGTGCCAGCAAACGCTGTCTGGTCAGATCACCCCGCCAAGATGGTGATAGGTGATGGTCTTGGGTGGTTAACACTAGGGTAGGACAGGGGGGGTGGGGGTCCGCCAGGGCAAAAGATGAGAGGAAGGGCGGGTGGGGTCTTCAGAGGGGTTACTCTGGACAACTGAATGGCCAATTACTGTGGGTAAATGTCATCTGTCTAGTATCCCACCTCTACAACAACCTGGGCTTTTCCAAAAAAACAAAAACAAAAAAAAGAACTGGGGCAGGCCAGTGTTCAGCATCAAAATTGCACAACGCAGAGTGAATCATGAGCTGCGGCAGGCCTGGCTCCACTTGTCTCGGTATTTGTAGCTTTTTTGGACTTGGTGTAACCTGGCTCCAGTTGCCGCCTTGTTGGCTGAGATGTATCGGTCTGTACGGCCAAGACTTTGTTGTGACCAATGTGTCCCTTGTCCAAGCGAGGCCTAGAAGCTTCCGCAATTTATTGTTGAGCTTCTGGACTCTGTGTGATCTGTGGCCGTGGTTGACTCTTGACAAATCTTTGACTTTAGGACTCCTGCACCCCCGGAGGATCTGCTGCAGACTCCCCTGGGGCCTATTTTGACTTGTGAAGGCTTTGGGTACCTCGTTGTTTGATCATTGACCGTGGACCTACGGACCTAAGGACTTTCTGGAAGCCTCTCCATAGGCCCTAGGACCGACTTTTGACCCTCAAACTTCTCCGTGGCCTAAAGCTACGACCCTAAGGGCATACACACACAAGCATTTTCCTTAATGCATCTGACTGCAATTACGACTAGACCAGGATGAATGTGACAGTAATGACGTCCAGAGCTTAGTACAAAAAGGTCCTAGTGTGAGTAGGCCCTCAGACTTGTTCTGTGCTGTTCTTCTTCTTTTTCTTCTTCTTTTTATTTTTACGACTTGTTCTGTGCTGTTCTGACCTTGGTTCCTTGCACTTAAACCACCAGTACCTCGCCCATACATGGGCCACGGGCCCCTCGCCGTGACTTTCGGAGGCTGGAAACAGGACACAGGCCGGTGATGAAATTTATCAACGGGGGCCCGGCCCTGAAAGTTGCGCTGGTTAACGAGCTGCATCTCTGAAAAATAGCTGGGAAACTGGTGGTTCAAGCAAAACCAGGGAGGAACCCCAAAGGATCACAAACGAAGGTGAATTTTTGAAAACGTTTCCAAAATTTCAGAAAAGCAATCATGATCACCACCAAGCATCTTGTGACCCTCCTTTGACTCGAACTTTAACCTCACCGTCAACAACCATTGCTCGCTCTCACGCAGATCTTGAGCCGACAAACATGCCAGGTCCGACTGACTGTAGACAGTCCGTTACTCCATGCATCTCTACCCTCACCACCCCACTCAATCATCATTAGCTTGTCTGTGCCATTTGGAGAACCTGCAGTCTGTTGCGGTGATCTCGTCACCGCTGTGGATGAGTGCACCAGCACGCCGGGACTTCCACCAACTAGCTGATCTATCCATTTCAGCATAAAAGAATGAGAGAGCCAAGGGACTGTGACAGCGAGGTTTGTAGCATTTCACACCAGGGAGAGGTTTTCGCCGGGAAAGAAAGGGGAGACGGCTGCTCGTATCACCTCCTGGGGATGGGCCCCTAATGATGTTTCACTTTTTTTTTTTTTTTTTTTTTGAAGGGGGGGGGGTACAAGCAGGGAGTGAAGAGAAGTTCGATAAGGAAGCATGCTCAAACGGTGGCAAAGGGGTATCTACCCATCTTTGCACATCAATCTGACATCCATCTTGTGTTGAACCCATCACGACGAGGGGGAGTTGGGTGCAAAGGAGGAAAGAGGGTTTGGTCAAATATGGAGGACTAAGGGGTCATGGAGAGGAGAAGGGTTCAATTGAAGGGGAACATGCAGGTGCCGAAAAGCGGAGGAAGGAGGATAGACAAAGAAGTTGTGCGAATAGCGGAAAGTAAAGAAGTCAGGAAAGAAAGAAGTCGGGGAAGAAGAATCGGGTTTGTGCAAAGAGTAAGGAAAGGTAGTGCAATGCTTCCAATCGTAGCATGGATGGGTGGTGCAGCGATCTCAACCACCTATTTTCAAAGATGTAATGCGCACAAAGTTGCCGCAAACGCATGAACCAAGTATCCGAAAATGCAGAGTCACACCAAAATAAATTGCCTTCTTGTCCTACGCCGGCACAAATTTCCCAGCAAACTGAGCCACAGCATGGACGTGTGGTGTGGCGATCTTAACCATCTATTTTCAAAGATGTAAAGGCGCGCAAACGCGTGGACCAAGTATAAAAAAATGCAGAGTCACGCCGAAGCAAATCGCCTTCTTATGTTATGCTGGCGCAAACAGCAAACAGACCCACAAGCTTTCCGATGAGCAGAGAAAAACTGAAAAGGAATTAGTGTACAGCAACCCAACAAGCATGTGGTGAAAAGACCCAGGCATAAATCTGCCCAAAAGAGAACTTAGATCGTCACATGTGGTGAAAACTTTTCTCTCTCGATTCCATCAAGGATCGAGAGTGTTATGCATCTCTCGGTGTAATCTCCTTCGCCTGGATCCGCCATCGCCCATCGTGTTCCCGCCGGAGTACTTGGAAGAGAATCAACCTCTAGAAGCTTGTTAGGTTTATCAGGTAGATTGCCCCAAATCAGTCTGACTGTTTTTTTTTTTTTTTTTTTTTTTTTTTTTTTTTTTTTTTTTTTTTTTTTTTTTTTTTTTTTTTTTTTCCTTCAATTTTCTTGTATGACAATTAGCACAAACAATTCTTCCTGTAGCCTCACGAGGATTTTTAAATCTAACCGGCTGGTTTTCAACTAGGTTCCAAAATCCCGACTCCGAGCTCGCTCCGTTTACTCTTTCTCGCCACATTTCTTTTACGTATCGTGCGGAAAGACGGGCCCAAGGGCCCAATGGCTCTGGGATATAGGGGTCGTGTCCTTCAGTCTGAGTCCAAGTTCTGGTGTTAGACGTTGCTGTCTAGGGCCAGGAGCCGTCTGAGACGTCCCACAGGTCAAATGGACTGGGATACGGGGGATAGAAGGGGGGGAGGGGAGGGGGGGGATTACTTGAAAGAAAATCAACCTTTAGAAACTTTTTAGTTTCATCAGGTTGATCGCCCCAAATCGGTCCCGTTGATTTTTTTATATTTATTTTTTTCTTGTAAGCTAATTACACATTGCAAGGAAACATGGGGCAAAGAGCTCTGGGATAAGGCCGACGGTCGTGTCTTTCCGTCTGAGTCCGATTATGGGGTCAAAAGTTGCTGTCTTGGGCCAGGAGTCTTCTGAGACGCCCTCACGTCAAATGGACTTAAGTACAGGGGCTCATAAGTACCCCCAGAGCCTGGAAAAGTCAACCCATGCATGCCTGAGGAAAGTCAACAGTCAAGCCCAACATGGGCGCAGTAGACGAAGAGTCGACAATGTCTGCGGAAGTCGTTTCAGCCACAAATGACATGCGGTCCATTGTGCAGTGAAGTTTCCAGGGACTTCCATACTTGCTGGGACTACTGTGTTCAGCCGAATACAAAGGACGGTCTTTATAGCTGTATTTGGGCCAAGTTTGAGTCTAGATACAGCAATAATGACCGTACGTTGTATTCGGTTGAATACAGCCGGGCACCCACAGGCCGCGGCCAAATTCTCGCTTTACTGATCAAAGAAATCTCAGCTGTTCGGGTAGGCAACCTGAGGCGGGCCAAAGCGGGCCCTGCCTCAGTTTGGGCATTCATCCTGTCTGGGGGAAGTTGTTGCTGAGCTCGCTTGCTGGACAAGGATACCTTGCACCTGGCGCCAGACAGAAGTAGAAGATAGGGTGGCAGCCATAGCCAAGTGGGCACTGCCAGTAGTGTAGAGGAGGTGCTGCTTCCATAGCTGTAGGTGAGAATGTGAGTGAGGAGGACAGAGGGTTCGAGGTGGGATCGGCCATGTGGAGAGAGAGTTCTGCTTACATGGAGGTTGCTGGCTGGCGTTCTTCACAATGGTGACTTATAAGCTGCTCAAGATATGCTGCATTACTGTTCCCAACTTCCCATGCTTGATTAGACTTGCACTTGCCTTAAACCACCAGGGCATCACCGAGGCAAACTTGGGAGTCTAAGTTTAGCCGATCTGAAAACTTTGGAGGCTCGGGGCTACCGGGCCAAAATGGCTGCTGGCACCAGCCAAAAGAAAAAGAAAAACGCCGCACTGGTGTTTTGGCAAAGCGTGGCGCACAGGGAGAATCCGGCTCGGCAAAAGGGGCTCGGATGTATTGGTGGTTTAAAAAAGATGCACCAGAGAGGGATAAGCTTGGAGGGAGTCAGAGCGGGATTGTGATCAGAGTGGCGCGATAGAAGCAGTGGCGATGTCAGTTTGGGAGAGACCTGCTGATGTGAGAGAGAGGGCAGGTGATTGGAGGAAAGAGTACCAGTAGTAGAAGATGGAGACGTTGGCGGTCTTTTTTTTTTTTTTTTTTTTTTTTTTTTTTTTTTTTTTTTCCTGCCACGGCCGAGCTATCTAGGCCAAGTCTCTCCAAGGAAGCTACCATCTTCCCCCGAATACCTTATGACATCATAATTTCTGATTATTGCGGGAAATCCTTTTCTTCTTCTTCCCACGATCATCTTCTTCTCTCCTCCTCCTTCATCTTATTGCTTTGTGAGTTTCGTACGTGAAGTTCATGCGAGTGATGTGTTCGGACAGCGAGCATTGCGAATCGGGTTCATTGCAGTATTCCGAATCAAATTGTTTGTTGTATCTGCTTCCATCTTTATTTCTCCCTTTTTACTCCTTCCTTTGTTTTCTGCCGCTTGAACACGAATCTGTAACTGTGCTTGCTCTGTTCTTTTTTTTTTTTTTTTTTGCCTGTTTTCGCTTTGGGAGGGGTTGGGGGGAGGGACAGTACCGGATTAGAACTCTTGATGTTCGGACCAACAGTTGTAGGTGTCCGTCCACCTGTTGGCAACTGGGGACGGTTTCATCGTTGGTGCCTGTTCTTCATCTTCCTTATAACTTTGGTGGTGTGATTTTTGGCTCGGGTGCAGTGAACTCGACGAGCATCAAATTCCCTCGAAGCCAGACTCAGGGATCTATGGCGGTATCAGTTGCTCTAGGTATGAGAAAATCAATCTATAAGACTATAACATGATATTAACATCCCATTGTTTTATGCCCTTTGGGATGGGAAGTTGTCGTCTCTATTTTTCTCTGTTTGTTTGGTCGTTTGGTTGGTGGGTCAGTTGATCGGTGCGTCGGTCAGTGGGCGAGTGAGTGGGCAGGTCGGTTGGTTGGTCGGTTGATTTGTGTGGTCAGTTGGTCGGTTTGTGTGGTTGGTTGCTCTGCCTGGTTGGTATGCCTGTCTGTTTCTCTCTGTTCTGTCTGATTCTTTTTGTCCTCTCTGTTTCTGTCTGTGTTTGTTAATCCTTTGCTTGTTTCTGTCTGCATTTGTTTGTGTCTCTGTCTTTTCTTTTTTCTTTTTTTTAATTTGGACCATTTCTCGATTTATGCGTGTCATCCTTGCACAGGGGCCATGCTAATCTTCTCTGTATCATTCCAATTTTAACGGATGTCCCGAAGGACATGTCTCTGTCTTTTCTCTCTGTGTGTGTTTGTTTGTTTTTGTTTGTTTTTGTTTGTTTTTGTTTGTTTGTTTGTCTGTCTGTCTGTTTGTCTGTTGGTCTTTGTGTCCGTTTGTCTTTCTGTCTGTTCATCTCTTTGTCTGTTTGTATTTTTATCTGTTTTCTTCTGTGTCTGTTTGGCTGGTTGATTGCTTTGTTGTTTGGTTGGTTTGTGGTTCGCTCGTTCTTTCGTCTGTCTGCTTTCTCGTTTGTTGGTTCATTTGTTTGTTAGTCCATTTGTTTTACTCGCCCACTCTGCTTGACTTGTTGGATTGTTAAACAACTTGTCCGTTTGCCAGCCGTTCTTCTCCGCCACGGTCGTATGTGCGCCACAAGTTTCGGGGGTTCGCCCAGCGGAGAGCAAAATGGCTGGCAGCGGCAGCCAAAAGAAGGGACGCACTGGTTCGTTTTTCTTTGGCACGCAGGGCGTTTCCAGGCTCAGCAGGGGAAGTGTCAAAAGTACTGGTCGTTTAATTTATTAGCCCTATTTTCCCTCTTCATTAACGGGGGTTAGGGGCCTGGAAAAAGTACCCTTTGGCAGGATTACTGGTCCTATTCCCCTCTTACCCTTACGGAAAAAAGGTTGCTGTTCCCCCTTCTTATGAGAACGCCGAGGTGTTCTGAAGGCATAAAACACTCACTGGACATTTAAAAAATGGCTAGGTAGTCTCTAGTGTTAACTGCTTTTGCTCTCAGAGAGAGGGCGCGCGGTATACCAAAAAGTTTTATAAGGGCACTGCCTTTGCCATAAGCTTTGTCTGATCACCATCATTGCTGTTGGCCTGCTGCATTCCATGAACTCCAAATCCAACCATGTATTTATCGTTGGTGTGATGACCGTTTTGTGAGCCTTGAGGTGTTGCCGTGTACTCTTGGTTTTGATTGAAGCTTTTTCTGGAGGTTCTATCCGGACGTTGTGGATTTTTAATGAGTCGATACTCTTGCTTGCATGCGCGACAGAGTGCTGCTATCGAGTGTACCTTCCGATCTCCGTCACACATCCTTTCACAGTTTCACTGTCTATGCCGGGCAGTTTTCTCTTCTTGTCCCATTCATGGGTTTCCCCCAAATAGAACTGATGGTCAGTATAGCTGTATTTGCAGCAACTATTCAGTCTATAGATACAGCAATAATGACCGTATGTTCTATTCAGGGGAAGATGGTAACGTCGGCAAATTCTAATGTTTACAAGTTCTTTACTGCTGAGTTGTCTCCCTTTTTCCTATGCAGTGAAGGATTTCTCTTCCTCTCCTTTTTCGTTCTGTTGTATGCTGATGTTCCACCCACATTGCATACATTGATGCTATACAGCTGTGAAACTGCCAATATGGACTGCTATGAAGTCTCTGACACATGCTCTGGGTCCTTCCCCTTCTCCCCTCCCCTTCTCCCACCAAACCAATGCTTTATTATGGGGCCCAGTGCCCAAGGCTGCACATGCAAAGGAGACCGATGAGGCACTGGGTGCTTTCTGCTCGAACCAATTCTGATACTTATAGAAGTCATCGGTGATGCATGTTTGATAGTATTTGATACTGATATGAAATGACTTGAAAGTGCCTAATGTTTGTTTACGCTATGAAATCAATTTTCAACATGCCTAAAAAGAATTGTTGCAATTTGATCCTGAGTTATGTGAAGTAGTGGCATTAGTCAATGTGAACATGCCATTTTTTTTTATTTTTTTTTAAAAATAGTTTGGACCATTTTTCGATTTATGCGGGCCATGCTAATCTTCTCTGTATCGTTCCAAGTTTAACGGATGTCCCGAAGGACAATGCGAACATGCCTAATTAATGAAATTTTGTAAAATTTGCTCTATAATATTCTATAGTTTGTTGCAGAACATAATGTCCGGACAGCTCAGTTCCCGCTCCATTCCAGTTTTTAATAACGTATATTGGATTGTGTTTGCTTTTTTTTTTTTTTTTTTTTTGCTGATGTTTGCTCCTTTTTTTTCGTTGTTTGGCCCTTGCTGATTTTGACATTCCAGATGGCCAGCCCAAAGGCAGCTGGCAGCCAGCAGGATATTCTTCTGACGCTCTTGAAAGGAAGATTGCAGAGTACAGAAAGTAAGATCCTGACCCTGCTTTCGATTAAAAAACAGTGCTTCTTACCCCTCTGATTGAATGGATTCTTTAAATTTCTTTTCTCTTACTCTAAAATAAAGTTCTAAATTTATAAACCTAAAAAAAAAAAAAAAACTTATAGAGTGCTGGCAAGAGCGATAGAAGGCTGACTGACTGGGGATAATTGAGAAACTCCAGCCAGATTCCTAGGCATGGGAGCCACAAAAGGATGCCGCGGCCGCATTTAAGATTGGCGTCTGAAATGAAAGTCAATTGGCGAAAAAAAAAAAGAACGTTAGGCTGGTTGTTAGTGGAAGGAAGAGTGATATAAGCATTTAGATTGGTGCCGAAAATGAAAAGGCAATTGGGTAACAAGTACTAAAAATGGTAGGCTGGTGGTTAGCGGAAGGTAAGATACCATCCTTACTGGGCCCTGAAAGCCCAGCTGCTGACTGACTGGGGATACTCAAGAAACTCCAGCCAGATTCCTAGGCATACAAGTCACAAAAGGACAGACCGGCCGCACAGATAGCGCAAAACATGCTGACCAGCACCATCAACAGAATGGGCAAATGAGGATGGATACTACACGTGGAGAGTAGACC